TCCCTGCCTCTGACTGGTGAGTGCACATGCCCTAGAGAAAATTAAATAATAATAATTTAACTTAAATAAATCATTTCAAAAATTCCCAGAGGGCACATGCGCTCACCAAAGACATGCGGTGTCTGTCTCTGTCTGTCTCCCCTTTTGGGGTGTTGGACATGCACACACACGCGTGTCCATCGTGTCTTTCTTTTTGTATTCAAATGTTTATTTGTTGTGATTTTTAAGCCACCAGAGCTGGGACTCGATCCACGGTGACCATGTGGAACCATCATGTTCTCCCACTGGGTGGGATCCAGCTGCCTTCCCCACCACACCACCCTCTTTCTCAGCGCTGAGAACAATGAGGCTCTGTCATGTTGTCTGCCCCAGGGAGATTACTAGAATGGAGGCTTTCCCTGCAAATTGCCCACTCAGCCAGTAGAGGTCAGTGTTTTAGCTGTAACCCAGAGGTCACTATCCCCGGCCATCACAGGAAGGTGGGGAGGAGGAAAGTGAGTCGAAGGAAGCCCTGGGGTCAGATGGACCTCGGTTTATTAGAAAAAGGGAAGGCCTCAGAGCCCTTGTCTTCAGGGGACAGTCCCCCGCTCCCGGGATGATGTCGGCAGGGCAGTGACTGCCCGTCTGAGGACAAGGGTGGCTGTCCCGCTGCACGGGGTGGGGACGGCTCCTCAGGCACCGGCAGCCACTCCATGGGTGATGGCTCTGTCTCTGCGGGCCAGGCCTCCACCTCCATGGACAGCCTGTCAGGTGGTTCCTCCCCACTGGGTGGCGGGGTCTCCACGGAGGACACGGGAGTCTTGGGCGGGAGTGCCCTTGCCTCCTCTGGGGGCCCCTTCTGCCCGCTGTAGGGCCAGCTGGTCCAGGACGTCGCCGAGGTCCTCCAGGACGACGACGTTGCCGAGGACCCGGGCTGGCCCGAAGACGGCCTCTGGCTGCTGGGGAGTGGCGGGTCCTCCGGAGGCGACTGCGACGGCTGGCTTCCCCCAGCCTGGGAAGGGGGCTCCAGCCTGGGCTGCGGCCCGGGGGTCCATGTCTTGGGCGCCTCCTGGAAAAGCCCCATGGGCCTGCTGGGGGCCGGCGCCCTTTTGCCAGCGGCGGGCTGGTTTTCTGAGCACGGGGCCAGGGCCGCCGACCCCTCCACCAGCGAGGAGCTCACCGTGGACGGGGGCTCCTCCGAGGACACCTTCCCGCGGTGCTGGCGCCTCTTCCTCACCAGGAACGACGGCTTCCTGGAGAAGCGAGGGGACTCCCTGGGGCCCGCGGGCGGCTCCTCGTCGGACTGCGGGGAGTCTGAGCCCTCGCCGCCCGCGCGCGGCCTCCGCAGGATGGTGCCCTGCGTGATGAGGTCGGCGTAGCCCTCGCGGTGCGAGAAGGCGTAGCTGGAGCGTCGGGCGCGGGACTCGCGGTGGAAGGGGGACCCCTGCCACGCCGC